ATGCGCGCCCCTTAGGCGGTGACCTCCGCCGTCAGATTCGCGATATTCTCCGTATTGGTCGCGATTCCTGCCTGCATCTCCTCGAACGCTGCCTCTAACGCCGAGCATCGTTCAGCTGCCGTGCCGGTACCCATTGCGAACAGATCCCGAACGGATTCGGAACCAGGCTCTGATACCAATTGATGAACAGATTCCCTCTGTTCTAGGGTTTTGCTTGTAACTCACAAGCGAGAGAAAGACGTTGGTGTCTATAAACCTTTGATTTATTTGATTGATATGGAACTAATGCCAAAGGTACATATTTATAGGCTTAGAAAAGCCTAATACTTAACCTAATCCTACTCCCATTTGGCTACCCCTTCCCAAACATAAAAGGAAAACTTGAACCAAAAGGAAAAACACCCTAGCCCAACCGAAAAATACCCCACAAGCCCAATACCGAAAAATACCATCATCAATCGTCCACATCACAGCAACCCCTTTCTTCTCCGGAGCAGCAGTCTTGTGTCGTTGGAAGCAGGTACAGCAATCTTGACGGCCCGGCGAAGCCTTGCCGCCGGTCAGAGGAACGCGGCGGCTGGGAAGTGGTACCGGTGGCTTCACGAGTGACACAATCGCCCTTCTCGACAGTGAAAGGAAATTCATCTTGAATCTTGATCCTCACTCTGCTTCAGTGTGTGCGAGAGTGAAAGACGAGGGAAAACGATTTGGAAGTGTCAATATTTATGCGGGAAATGGTGGTGAATACTGAATACGCTCCATTTCTGGTTTCTTCACGAGATGGGCTTCAAAGCCCAGTCCGGCGTTTGGTGGGCTTCTTCAAGCCCGAGGTTTTTTGTATAATTTATTATTATTATTTTTAAGAGTTTTTTTTTATGGAAATCTGTGAAACTTCTTATTAACCAGTGTAAGAGGCTACATTATCCAACACTAACGGATTAACCAAAAAGGTGGGAGGGCTATCAACCCAACAAGTCGTTCATCCCAGCGCGATTCCGAGTGAGCCATGCCATGCGCAGCTGCATTTCCTTCGCGGTGAGCATGCTGCCAAGACCCCAACCCAGACTCCTCAAGGTAGCGTCGGATGCTTCGGCACACAACTCCGATCTCCGCCTCAATCTGCCAAGCATCATCAAGCTTATTAACTAGATTCAAACTATCGGTTTCCAGGATGAGATTCCGCAGGTTTTGTTGTTTCGCAAGCTGCACTCCAAATTCTGCTGCAAGGGCTTCAGCTTCTTCCACAGCCCATCTACCTCGGAGCCGCTTACTCGCCGCCATCAAGAACTGGCCATTCGTGCCTCGTGCTACCATGCCTAATCCAATCCCTCCGTCCCGTAAGATAGCCGCATCCGTATTAATCTTTACCCGTCCGGCATCAGGTGGTTTCCATCTGGACTGTTGTTCACCCTCCGAGAAAGTTCCTGGTTGGGATTGGTGGGCGCGATAGTCTTCAAGGAACAACCTTGATCGGGGGATGATATCTTGCTCCTTCAGCTTTTGTCCATTGAACAACTGAGCGTTCCGCTCCCGCCACATAAACCAGAGTGTGACACACCATGCTTCAACCTCCTCCTCCTTCCTATTCTTCATCACGTCTTTCGCCCATTTGTAGCAATCTTCCGACATTCTTAGCTTGAAGCACTCCACCATGTCCGATTGCCTCCATAGTCGAGAGCTCCATTCACAGTAACCAAACAGGTGAGCTTGCGACTCTGAGAGCCCACAGAAAGGGCATTTATCGTCCCACCTACTGCTCCTCGTGCTCATCTTATCGCCCGTAGGAAGGATGCCACGCATAAACCTCCACATAAAATGCTTGGTTTTGGGGGGAATTTTCAGCGCCCATAGCTTCTTCCAGATCTCCACATCACCAAATGGAACTAGCTGATTTTCCACCACTAAGTTCTTGAACCACCTCCTGTATCCGTCTTTGACAGTGTACTCTCCTGATTCGTTCTCAGCCCATATCTGTTTATCCCGTTCCCCATGCCCACGAAGAGGGATCTGGAGCACTCTCTGGCCTGCCTCCACCGACATACATGACGTGATCATCTCCCAGTCCCATTGCTCCGTGTCGGGGTCAATGAGTTGGCTAACGTTAGCATCCGCAGGCAGGTGCCTAGGAGCCGAGTCCACAAAAGTAGGTTGTCCACCAGGGAGCCAGCAATCTCCCCAGATTTTTACATCCGACCCATCCCCGATCCTCCACCGCAAGCCCCCGCAAAGGAAATCCTGAGCACTCATCAAACTCCGCCAAATGAAGCTTGCCTAGGGGCCAACGTGCGCGTCCAGCACCGAAGTATTCTTGTGATATTTTGCTTTCAAAATCCGAGCAATAAGGGAGGATGGCCGCTTGAATAACCTCCACAATTGCTTAGCCAACATAGCTGTATTGAAGCCTTCAAGGTCCCGGAAACCTAGTCCACCCTCCTCCTTGGGAAACAGCATTCCCTCCCTCCTCAGCCAGTGAATTCGCCTCTCATTCCCCTTCTGTCCCCAATAGAAATTTGTAATAAGGCTATGAACATCGTTGATGATTGAGGCCGGGACTCGAAACACGGACATAGCATAGGTGAGCTGCGCTTGAGCCACAGCCTTGATCAGCGTCTCCCTTCCCGCCACCGATAATGTCTTCTCTTTCCACCCCTTCAACTTCTTTCGAACACGCTCCACTAACCCAGAGAAAATCTCTTTCTTCGATCGGCCTACCACTGTTGGCAATCCCAGGTATTTGTCGTGCTTCTCGACCAGTTTCATTTCCAGTGTGCCCGCGACCATGAGTCTTCGGTGAGGAGTCACTTTCGCACTGAAGGAGACAGCTGACTTTGGGAAGCTCACCTGTTGGCCTGACTCCCTTTCGTACATTTTCAAAATATTCTTCAAAGCTTCACTTTCCTGCTCAGTCGCCCTACCAAAAAACACGGAGTCATCTGCGAAGAAGAGATGTGAAATGGTTGGGCCTCCCCGAGCTGGTTGAATTCCATGGAGGCGCTTTTCCTGGACTGCTGCCTTTGTGATGGCTGAGAGCCCCTCGGCACAGAACAGAAACAGGTAAGGTGAGAGTGGGTCACCTTGTTTCAGCCCTCGACTCGGAGCAAAAACCTCTGATTGGTGACCATTCACAAGGACATAGTAGGAGACTGTGCGAACACACTTCATGATTAGATCGATCCATCTCTGATCAAAGCCCATCCGATTCATAACTCCCTCCAGGAAGTGCCACTCCACCCGATCATACGCTTTGGCCATGTCAATTTTTGCAGCAAACAATCCCGGTCCTGCCCTCGACTTCACCTTCATTGTATGAAAGCACTCAAAAGCCGCCATGATGTTGTCTGTAATAAATCTTCCTGGGACAAACGCACTCTGTTCCTGCGAAATCACAAGATCCAAAACACCCTTCAGCCTGTTAGCAAGAACTTTTGCCACTAATTTGTACAACACATTGCACAAACTAATAGGACGGAAATCTTGGGGAGTAGCTGGCTCTTTAATCTTCGGGATCAACGCGATAAGAGTATGGTTTAATAGTGGTGGCATCGGTCCTCCATTTAGAATTTGTAGTACCGCGTTGGTCACGTCATCTCCCACCACTGACCAATGATTCTTGAAAAACAAAGCTGAAAAGCCATCAGCTCCTGGCGCCTTCCTCGAACCTGTTTGCTTGAGGGCTCGGCTCACCTCATCTCTGTCGAACGGACGCAGTAGGTCCCTGTTTTGCTCCGAGGTAACCGAGCGCTGGATAGCATCAAGGACTGGCGTCTCGGTCGGCGGGCTTGAAGCTGTGAACAGATTGGAAAAATAGTCAATTAAACATCCGAAGATTTGCTCCTGCGTCGTGTGCCATAATCCCGAACTGTCTCTGATCTTGCGAATCATATTCCTCTTGCGTCTGGCGGATGCTTTCCTGTGAAAGAAAGCAGTGTTTTTGTCACCACCCCGGAGCCAGTCCGCCTTTGAACGCTGACTCCAATAGAGCTCTTCATTGGCTTCAAGTTCCGCCAGTTCCTGTTCCAGTTGCCGGCGTTGATTCTCACCCACCTCCGATCGCGGTTGTCTATCGATGGCCCTCATGGCTTTCTTGATTCTTGTTCTGTGTTTCCCAAACCGTGGGAATGTAGCTTTGCTCCAATTTTCAAGCTTCGACCTGCAAGAAAGAAGCTTAGTTAGTGTGTCCGCTCCCATAACTTCCTTCCACGCCTCTTCCATAACTTCCGGGCATTTTGAATGTTTTGTCCAATGGGGTTCATATTTAAACGACCATCCCCACTTTGGTTCAGCATCCGCTTCCCCATTTGTGTCACAAATCAATGGTCGGTGGTCCGAGCGTTCCCGGTCCAAATGCAAAACCCGGGCTGAACCGAAAAGGTTAGCCCACCCATCAGACGCCACAAACCGATCCAACCGCTCCTCTATAAGAGCACTCCCAATCCGCCTGTTTTCCCAGGTAAACGGATAACCTTGGAAACCAAGGTCCAGTAATCCGACTTCCTGAAGGCACTCTTCAAACCCGATCATCACATCATCAACCATTACCCGACCCCCCCTCTTCTCCTCCAAACAACGGACTTGATTTAGATCACCTCCACACAACCACGGGCCTTCCCACTGTGCAGCCAATCTTCTAATGAGATCCCAAGTTCTCCATTTATCACCATCCTCCGGCCATCCGTATATTCCTGAGAACCGCCATTGACCTCCTACATCCTCCGCTACTCTCACGTCCACATGATTAAAAGAAATAGACATAACTTGAATATTAATACCTTCTTTCCACCATAAACTCAACCCTCCTGCCCGTCCACCCCTTGATTGATCAGTGGACCAGCTATCACCCTCTTCAAAGCCAAGTTCTTTCTGAGTTACTTTATTTTCATCTACAGTTTGTTTCGTTTCCATCAGGAAGACGATATCAGGGGAGTTTTGTCGCAGTAGCGACCTCAATGCTCGAACTGCACGCTTGCTCCCCAGCCCGCGGCAGTTATAACTGAGAATCCTCATTTATTACCTGAAGTGGATCGGTTCCCCGCACCATCAGAGTTGTTGGTTTTTGTAGGAGTCTTAGACCCCCCATTTTTTGTCTTGTGGCTATTGGCCCCATCACTTGCATGGCTGGACGTCCCATCCCCAGCATTTCTCTTTTCATTATGGTAATGTATATTGGCCCTTTCCCCACCCTTCTCTCCCTGCACCCTCTCCTTCGCCGCAGGATAGACCGAGGGATTAGTTCTGGCCCCCCCTTTACCAGCCGAGGTCTGCTCCTTTACCGGCGTAGCTTCCCTTCCATTACTATCAGTTACACCTTCTTTTGATCGACCATTCAAATTTCCGTGTACAGCCTTCTCTGCATCCCCTACCTGCAAGCCTCTTCCCGTAGTCACCTTCTCGACCTCCTCACCTAACACAGCAAAACGATTTTCTTTTGGTTCTCCGCCTCTCATCGGACTCATCCTCCCATTGTTTTCCGGTCGCCGCTTTGACCAGGCCGCCTTTTTCTTGACTGACATCCACTCCCCGTATGTCCGCCCCTCAGTTTGGGAGACCGTTGGGGCTGCTCGAGGTGTTACCGGCAAAGCGTCAACTGACTCCTCACCCATCTGTTTACAGCTGCATTTGTTTGATCGCTGCCCGTACATGCCGCACTCTCCACAAATATCTTCTAGACCTTCATATTGGATTATGTAGGTCACTCCCTCTACCTTATACTTCGACAGAAGAGGCTTGGTGAGGTCCACTTCAACGCTAACACGAGCATAATTACCTCGCGCCCCCAGCTCCGTTGCGCGATCTACCCTAATAGGTTTTCCAATTAGTTCAGCAATCATAGTCACCGCTTCAACATTAAAAAACTCAATAGGGAGGTCAGGTAGTTGCACCCACACGATCGTTGACTTCACCGTTGCCTTCCACGGGTTAAAACCCTTGAACCAACGGTTGACGGTAAGGTACGTTTCACTCAGCAACCATGGCCCTTTCTCAATCGCAAGTTCATAGTCTTTCTGGTTCCGAAACCTCACCAGGAAGCACCCATTGTTCATGTCAGAGATCTGGATCTCTCCATGCCGAGCCCATAGAAAATTCAGCCGCCTCGCTAAGGGTACGTAGGCAACCTTCCTCCCTAGCCCTTGCACTATTAGTGCTGATCTCCATTCCCTTCTCCACTTCACCTTCTGTGCGGCCGTAAAAGGTACGACAGGACAGCGAGGATCATAATCCTCCTCGTCATTCATCTCATCCTCCTCCCTTTCGCGTTGGAATACGTCTTCCGAGTCCGAATCAGCAACATACCATCCATCTTCTTTTAGAACGTCCCTAAACGATCTAGGGCTTCCTTCCGACCAGGTTCCTTTCATGTTCCCCGCCTTACCTCCGTTATTTCCATAGGCCTCCTGGTATTCAGTTTCCATCTCCTCTGAATCCTCCTCGGTAGGCTTTGGCTGCTCGTTAGGGATCTCCATGGCTCTGACCTTCTTTTTTGGCTGTGTTGCTTCTTTTGCACTCTTCCCATCCAGCGAGGAGGAGCCTACCGCCGACCGCCTAGCGCCACTTAAGTCGGGAGGCTTCTTCGTCGGCATTGGCGGAGGCGCCGCCATCGCGAGGCAGAAAGCGAAGCCCTTTAGGTTTTCCGAGGGTTTTTTCCACGACTGTGGCAAAAGTGGAGCTCAATGATATTATTTTTAAGAGTTACAACTGTGAATTAGTAATAATAATGATATAATAGCATGAATACGTGAAAAACAGAACAAACAAACGTTTAAAAAAATTAGTGGGCAGCCGAGATACAATATGAGCTCCCACTCGGGGTGGGCATTCGGTCAAACCTCAAACCGAATTCAAACCAAATTATAATTCGGTTCGGTATGTTCAAACCGAATTATAATTCGGTTCGGTTTTTCATACAAAACCGAAATAGTGAGGTTAGCTTGTATCTTCTCTTATTAAAATTATGTTTCGCCCCTAATGTAAGCAATAAATATGCATCATCAATGATAAAATCAAACATTTCAACACATAAGTCATAAAACACTAACATGATTCAAATATTTAAGTCTCATAATAAGTAGAAACATAAAAATCCACCATTTAGAGCTTGCAATTATAATAATTCGATTTTCAGGTTGGAATTCGAAAATTTGGTTCGGTCGAAAGGACCATGGTTTCCGAAATATGCCATTTTCTCTTCCGAATTCCGAACCGAATAACATTAATTCGGTTTCGGTTCGGTTTATATTCGGTTCGGTTAGGTTCGGTTCAATTTTACCGAATCGTATGCCCAACCCTAGCTCCCACTCCTTTAGCTATAGCAAAGCTAAGTCTAGTAAAAATGTACGCAGCTGCTCGAGTCCCCACATCCTGTGACACAGAGAATTTCTGGATCCGCTTGAGCAAAGCCACGACATCCGTATCCAACTCTCCTAGTGAAGAAAAGGAAAAGGGTAGGAAACTGTAACTAGCTGCCATGCATAAGTCCCGATACTTGACACACTTTCGCTAAGCAGCATCAACAACAACTCGTCCAGGAACAAAACCAGTCATCCCAGTCTGAGTCAAATGCGAAGATCCATTCAGATCGACACACACATCTCGCCCTTGTTCCAGGAATAAAGCAACAAATTCGTAGGACGAAGGGGTCCACCATGCCCATCAACCAAACCGATATCAACCTCTCTCTCGCGCGAAAATCTCAGGCCTATAACAAATGTCCAGTAAGGTGTCACGAACAAGGTTATGTCGATACTTAATGCCCACAATATCAGCACAGGACACATCATGATCTCCAAAGATTTCACCATGAAAGACACGAGAACAAGCAGGACATGGCTTAGATACCGAAAATAATAGGACACCCAGTCGATAACTAAGCACACTACGATATGTCCTCCCATTCATAGTCTGCCCCAGCCCACCCAATCAGAAGAGTGTGCACTCTGCTGAGACTTCCACAAAACCACCTGACGCATAGTCAACGAGAAAACAGAATCTGAACTAGCAGCAACCTTCGCGAAATATATGTTTGCCAATTTCTTCATAAGTTTTGGGGCAGCAACTCCACTCGGGTCACGTAAGAGATCAGAACCTGTAAACTCATTAAAGGTGCGTAGGGCATCATCAAAAGAAGGACCAGGAGATAGGATACCTGAAGGACCTAAGAGTTTAGCTTGCAACTCCGCAGACTGCAAACAGGATGCCAAAAAAGCATAATGCAGGACATCTCCAGCAACATAAACCCCAAGCCCGCCTAAATGAAAAGGGAAGGTGGCAAGCCTCAACTTCCAATCACCAAACCCACGCCCAGAAGCAGTGACAATACATTCTAAACTAGAACGAAGCGTTGTGTCAAAAGATAGTTGGGCCGACCCAAAAACACGAGGAGAGCAATTACGCAAAGCAAAGTAGAATTTAGAAATACCAGTACAAGCCCGCAACAAAAGCAACTCACACTGTGGGTCATCAATCCTCGCAACCAATTCCATCAGCTCGACGGTCCTGATAGGGTTGGGAAACAGTCCGGTTCGGTTTAACCTCGACCAACCCGATTAGTCCAATTTTTATCATTTCAAATATATATTTTGTAATTTTGATATCATAATGATTAATTATAGTGTATTTTATAGGGAATCGTTTGGTATTTGTTAGTAAAAAAACTAAACAGAAAGATCCATTTGGTTATTTTAACATTAAAATGATCCTAAACTTTTCCAGTTGAATATTGATGGTGTTATATTACTGTGTTTGAATTTTCACTATATATTAGATCAAGTACGAACGATTATTTTTGTTTAATGTGATATGTTATTATCCACGTGTTAGATAAATAGATGTGATTTGATATAATTTATAAATGTATGAATGCTATAATGACTTTTTATATATATTCATACTAATTTAGGACAAAGCGATCAAGTCATTAACTCTCAACCTAGGGCCAACAGGCTAAACCGGATTTGACAACTAATAACGAAGTAGATGGAGAATCTGGGCCTACTTTATCTCCTATTTTCGCTAGGGGTTGATTAATCTAATTCATATGACCTATAAAGGTAAGAAACCCTCCAAGGGAGGGGATCTCTTCTTTCTCCTCACTTTCCACTATCTCTCTACACTTTATCTCTCTACCTTGTTCTCTCAATTTTCACCGTTAAACATGAACTAACTTGATCGTCGGAGTTTAATCCGGGCAGTGGCGGATTCAGGGGGTGGCCACCCCGGGCCCCGGCCCAGCCCTCTCCTGGATCCGAAACTAGTGTATCCCTTATGAGTTTATCGATTTAACCATTTGACCTAGTATTATTTTATAATAAAATTGTGTGTAATTAGGAAAATGGGTAAGATGAACATATTCGAATCACAACTCTAAATTTAGCCTGAAAATTCTAGCTCCAATAATTCTCATATAAAGAAAAGCAAACAATGAAACCTAAAATTCTAAAACGTAAAAGACTAAAAGAAATATGAGGTTTATTCTCTTAAGAAATTACTTGAGCAGCTGTTGAAAATAGGAATTGATTAGTCGATTGTGTTGACATTTGCGCAACAAAATGAACGATGAATTTCTCTCCAATTGGTTAACTATTTTATCTTAAAGAGAGTATGCTATTGATGTAGATGTAAACTCTATTATTGATGAATTCACTATATTAAAATTTAAAAGATTTACGTGTACAATTGATATTGTAAAAAAAAAAAACTGTGATTTTTTTACGAAATCTAATTTTCTAATGAAATGCGGCCCAGTGCTACGCTGTCCTAGATCCGCCGCTGAATCGGGGGGCATCCCCGAATCTTTCACAGGTTTCTTCCTTCCTGACGAGATCAGACAAACGGATCGTGAGTCAGCCCCACACCTACAAATATCATTGTTCGATCCGGAGCCAGTCTGTACAAACATATATAAACATCAGCGGTCAGCTCACAACGGAACAAAGTGTTAGGAACGGAACAACAACAGGAACGAGGTTACCGAATCTGGAGCTGAGTCGCGGACTAGGTCGCTCTCTTTAAGACGTTCGCGGCACTGCCCTCGATGCGCACGGCAGACTATCAACCGGTCGTCTCCAGGATAAAACAGCTCCTCTCAATACTCGCGGTTTTGTGCGAAAACCTGAGCTCTATGAACACTCTCTCTTTGTGTTTATGCTCGTTGTTATGTGTTTAGAGGGGCTGGGGAGGCGGCTATTTATAGGAGCCGAACCCCTAGGAATATACCCTCTAGCTTGGGGAATAAGTCGGATTAATTAAGGAAGATAATTACTTCCTTAATTAATTATCCTTCGAATATTCCTTTTCAATCGATTATCCCTTGAAATATTCCTCAGAGTAACCGATTAATAATTAATTATTAAATAATTAATTTCGTTCCAAAAAATATGTATATAGTCTCAAGTGATCCATCCAACCGACCGACCGGCCGGACGGACGGCGCGCGCGTGTGTGGTGGTCCGTTAGGTCCTCCCTCTCCCACAAAAGTGATCCATCCATCCATCCATCCATCCAACCGACCGACCGGCCGGTCGGACGGACGGACGGCGCGCGCGTGTGTGGTGGTCCGTTAGGTCCTCCCTCTCCCACAAAAGTGGGTCACCCCAAGGGGCATGCCCTTAGGAGAGAGGCTCCTATCTTTATAATCACTTCACCAAGTAAAACTACCAATGTGGTAGTTTTTCCACTTGAGACTCTATAGCTTTCAAAGCTATTCATACACATTTCCAACACAAAGTGCTCATCAAGTCTCTCTAAACAGCTCTCCTCAGTCTCCATGCTCTTTACAGAGCCAAAACTTCTCTTCCTCGGATCAACATTCGCCTACGTACTACCTTATGCCTTAGTCTTCCTGCAGGTGTGTATATATCTACGTGAGTATGTAGATTCGTGATTTTCCAATGCTTGTCCAAATCGTGCATGCATGTTAAGTGTTCTGGCAGATATTGAGTTAAGAGTGATCGATCTTTTGAATTAGGATTATGGATCCAAGTAATTAATGATACTCCTCCAAGGGCTGTGAATCCGGGACCTACTAACCATCAAGTCCTCTGGGGCCAAAAAGAACATCGTTCACAGCGTGTCAGCTGGGAAAACAGCAGGGCATGTATATCCTACTTTACCCGTTGGATCTGAAGATCCCCCTCCCTCCTTTTCTCTCGTGAAATGTGGTAATCGCATGACAGTAAAGTTTATGTTTTTTACTTTGTGTTTAGGGTTACTAATCTAGAACTAAGTGTAGAGGCTAATT